TTAATGATCCTCATAATCTTCTTTCTCAGTCTAATTTCAATTAGACCGATTTAATTTCTGGAGTAAATGAATTTCACGTAGAAACATGATGCTGATAATGGACTGGTGTCTAAAGCAAATATCACATGCGTCGCAGGACGATATAGTTTTCAGAAAGAATATTACGTGCACGCTTTTGATCATAATTTATATTGCCGTGTAAAACTCGAGTTCGCGATTTTATCTAAGAACTTCCAAGTTCTTATTATTAAACCTGTTAACTACTGGACCACATGGTTATGGCTTTTCCTCCTATATAAAACCGGTGTTTTTATTTCTATTTGGTATGATTTTTGAATAATTTTAAGTCGCATATAAAATTAAGACAGCTCTAATGGTATTCTTCTGACAGAGCTAAAACTCTTTGACTTGAAAGCTGTCATTGCAGAGGTTTTTCGTCATGCTGATGATAGTGAGCAGTCTTATAAATAGTTCTGTTTTATAAACTTATTGATAAGAAAAGGCAAGCTATGCATATGTAGTAATTATCAAGCAAAAAGTCAGCTACATCTTGATATTTTAAGCACACGCTACCGTAAATGTTAAGTGTTTTGATGTCTTTGTTTGACCATATAAACATGACTTGTTGATCGATAGAATTTGATTTGATATAAGTGGCAAATATGACATGCATATTCAAGACAAAAACATGTTTATGCATATGAATTATCAAAGTCAGCAAAGTAAACAGATTTTATACAATTGTATACACCTGTACAAATCATGTCTCTTATCAAAACGAAATTACATCGCAATTCATGATAAACATTGTTGAGTGATAAAGTACAGCTGCTTCTAAAAAGTGCGCGATAATAAAGTTTACATGTAAAGACATCAGTTTTGAAAGTAATTAAGCAAAGAACAAATGTTTTGTATCCTATAATAATTCTTAAATGATATTTTCAAAAGCATGACAGCCTTTCGTGGTCGGTCGGTATAATATCTTAAGTTTATTGTCTTATTAATCCATACTTCTTTATTTAAATGTCTCGTGTTAAAAAAAACCTTGCAACGACGATCCCTAGGTGACTTGATGCAAAGCAAAATATTTGCCGATACCAACTTGATGGAAAAGAACACTTTCTAAATTACGTTCGTCCGAAGCGCTTTTCTGGATTTACCGTCATGATGAATGCTCAAGCCGAAAAATTCGAAAGCCAGTGATATGTAAATACGTAGAATGTTTGAAGCTATTTGACCAAATGGAACCTAAAACGAATAGACAAATTAATCGAAGGTCAACTTTGCAAGAGGGAGTTGGAACCTGAGTTTCATAATAATTTAACGATGAATTAGAATCAAAACGTTTGTTCTTAACCATTTCAGTACCGATGCACCATGTATTCAAGTATATCCCATATATTCAAAATATCTTCATTTTCTAGTAACTGTTTAAATTTCCCGTCCTTCATCCTGGTCGATCCATGTAGAACATTGTGTATTGTGTTAAATGCCAATTTGTTCTCTTCCTAAACATGCACGAAGTACTTGCAAATGGACGTTATGCAACCAACAATCAATCAATTACTCACCAGTATTTTAACCCGATCATTGTATACGTATCAAAGTATTGCAACTGTATAGTTTATCTTAAAAATTATTTTAAATTAAGAAATGTATTTCGCTCTTGCATAGCTCTGAATTCTTGTCCTGTTATGGTCGTTTCTGTTTTATCAGCTCTTCAAAATTTGTATTAAGTTTTTAGATTTTCAAATATTTTGTCCTAGAACATCACTAAAGAAATATCTATTGTCGAAATGTGCAACTGGTGCAGTAAAACTGGTACCGCTCGATGTTATTACTATACGGGATTAATGTTATTAGCTTACCGCATTCTTTTGCTTGTCTTTTTTGTTTTGTTTCACATATTGTTATCCCGGGGCACTTTAAAGTATACTATATATGTATGGGTTTTGCACATTGTTGATACCGCACAGTGACCTAACATCCTTGTCCTCTGGGTTTTGGTGGATAGTTGTCTCATCTGCACATCTCAAGAAATATGTTTTGTATCATCGAATTCTAACTGGACGCTTGAAAATTGTATACCTTGGTAGGAAAAATAAAATCGAATTGTTTAGGAAGGTAGAAATCCGACTGTATTCTTCATTTCATGAAAAGTTAAAAATATATTTCTGAATGAATAAAGAGTTTATCTGCAACATTTATGTTTTTTTTATCTTTACACCTTAGTTACAAGTAACAATAAATTAAGTGATTAGACATATTTTAAACAAATTCCTTTGAAATAATGACTTTAAAAAAAAAATTGTAAACATATTTTGATTTGGAATAACGATGTAGGTCCTCGATTATACTATTTTTACACGTCTTATGTATAGTCTCTAATGCACTGTTTACTTCTCTTATAAATAAAAATGAATCTCTTAAACTGTCACACATTATAACAGATCACATCAACCACCAACGCCCAGCTGCTTCGAAAAATAAGACATACAAAACAAAGACCAACAAAAACGAACCACACACGGCTATGATAGCCCGACCTGGTACAGACGCATTACTTTCAATGTTTTCTTCATAGTCACGATCGGCTTCTTATAAATTCTGTTCTCGGTATATAATTCATATTTTCCCAAAATGGTTTTAACAGAACGTTTCAGACCTTAAATTTTACATTTTAGTCGAAATTGTTATCCAGGCTTATCTTTTTTCTAAGATAATTTGAAATATAAACTAGTTTAACCCCGCCACATTCTGTATGTGTCTGTCCTAAGTCAGGAGCCTGTAATTCAGTGGTTGTCGTTTGTTGCTGTATATCATATTTGTTTTTCGTTCGTTATTTTGTACATAAATCAGGCCGTCAGTTTTCTCGTTTGCATTGTTTTACATTTCTCATTTCGGGGCCTTTATAGCTGACTATGCGGTACGGGTTTTACTCATTATTGAAGGCCGTACGGTGACCTTTAGTTGTACATTTCTGTGTCATTTGGTCTCTTGTGGATATTTGTCTCATTGACAATCATACCACATCTTCTTATTCTTATACTTACATGTCATCTGTTATAGTTTAAAACAAACAATTCAATTGAAAAAAACCTAAACTCCACTAAAAAGCAACGACACTTCTTCATATCCAAATTAAGTATAGATATCAAGAAAGATTTTCTCAGAATCGTGGATAGCCAACAGTTGTGAATGTCAAAGTTAAGAAGAAAGGTCTGTTGACATTTCTTTGTGGTTGTTGAATTTCCTGTTGAGATGTGACTTTAAATAGTTTATGTTGAAGTAAAGAATGATAATTCTATTTTTAGATTAGTGTGACACATTGTATAGCCACTCGTCTATTGTTGAATAATATGTCGTTGGGTTGCTGTCTCATTGGCGCATACTCTCCATTTCTTTGATATCGTATTCATCACATAATATACGAAAGAAAATTCGTATGAAAATAATTTTGAAACGTAAATTAAATCATCAAATAACATTCAGCATTTGTTAAAATTTTCTTCGTTTGGTTGCCGTCTCATTGATGTTTACCCAACATTTCCCCAAATTCTTACTAATCACAGATCTATGGAAATTCTTTTTAATACTTCATATGAAAATTCGTATGAAAGTAATTCTGCAATGTAAGCGTCAGACGACACGACATTCAGTAATAAATGTATACAGATATCCCCTTCTGGCGTATCGGCAGCCTGATCCATCAAAGCTATTACTGATTAACTCCATTACGTCTGATCATATTCATTAATTTGATTAAAAACCAATAAACTAAAAACCAAAAACTAATCTCTTATTAGTAAAAAGTGCTGTTTTGTAGATTTTTAATCATTCCATTGAATATTGCATCATTTTAAGGGAGGGTGGATTGCCGTTGATTTCAAAACATGCCTGGCGGTCCGGAGATTTCTTTGAGAAATGTTTATGCTATAAAGAGTGCAAATATTTCTTTTTTCATTAACGAAGATATGCTTAGAACTATACAAATAATGTTCAGTAATACAGTATTATTTTATTTTGTTTTGTCAGAATGTTTGCACTGATTGAGACAAGGTTGGCTTAATTTAATTTGTTTACTTTCTAAGATGCGAAGAAAGATATTAGTCAAAGAGATGAATTATCTCGAAAATACTAATGGATCCCGTGAAAAAGAAAAGACACGAAAAAAAAAAAAGGAAATCCCTGATTCTTATTTGAACAAATTTCAAAACTTAAAGTGAAACGAAATTGAAATTTAAAATACTAAGTTGACAGCTAAACTGTTTGCTCTTTAAAGCTCGTTAAACAGCACTTGCTTCGGATAAACTATATTGGAAAATTATCTTACAGAAATATAACTTGTTTGAGGGAGACAGGAAGAAACTTGAGTCAGTCATATTTTAATGCATGTATTATGTTAGCGACTCTTAGAGCAAATGGTAACACGGGATGGGAACCAAGATCGACTGTAAACTTTTTAATTTCGACTTAAGTATACGAAGATGCGATAACTCCAGTTTTACTTCTTTAAAATGTAAAATAATAACGCGACTCCATTTTTTCACTTTGTTTGAGTAATGTGACGAAATAATTTCTCTATTACAACAACTGCAAATCCAAGGATTTCTATGCACGATTGAATCCATGAAATCAAAAATTTGGCACTCTATCAAAAATAATGAACAACAAAATGGACAAACTGCCGGATGTTCCGGAACTCTTTGCACGCCATGTAGGGCGTACTACATTCGATAAGAATGAAAAATTGGACAGACTTGGCTTGAAATTATCCCATTTTAAACGATTCTTGGTTGTTATGTTGTATACCAATATTTAATATAGAAATAATGATGTGGTACCCGTATGATTGCCAATGAGACAACTATCCAGCAAAGTTCAAATGAAGTGGATGTAAGTATATTTGCAAGCTGTCATCGGATGTGGCCTTTTTCTATTTAGCCCAAAATTAATTTAATTGATACTATGTATGTGTGAAATTTGGCTGGAATCATGTATACAAGATGTTATTATGCATTTATCTTAAAATAAACAATATGTAAGCACTCATTACAAAGTTTATGCGTTGATCCAAGAATAATTTACAGCCGGTACTGCATCATGGTTTAATTTAAGCTTGCCAAATTCGAGCGTAGTCAGAAACCATTTATGCTTTCTTGAATCGAACTGTTGCAGTTACTGATCCAAATGACATCGTCTGAAAAATAAAGAATTTTGACATGTTAACCATCGTTATTAAGGCAGTTTCAATAAACACGTGGTTCTAAAAAATTATGTTAAATTGTGAATTTCGAAACTACTAAAAGAGGGAAGAAGATACAGGTACCAAGGAAGCAATCAAAATACCTCCTCCAAAGAATTCGAAGAGAGATAACAATATGGCCTGATAAAACTAGAGGCTCGAAGAAGTATGTATCGCTCAACCCTCACTTTAGCATACAATTGATACAATGTAATACAAATTTCCCGATAGTTTCTTGCAAAAAATTAAAAAAAAAAACGCATAAAAATCATCATTCAAGGGTGATGACTTCTATAAGGAGTCGACTGACGATTTCGGTCATGTTGACTTAGGTGTAGAAATTGTATTCGGTATATCATCTTTGCTCTTTGCAGTTTTTCCTTATCTGCTATAGTTTTCACACAAAAATAAAACAAAAAAACACAAACCTACATATAAATCATCATTCAAGGACAATTATACCCTCCTATATAGAGTCGACTGATGATTTCAAGCATTTGACCTATTAGTAGATTTTGTCTTGCTGATCATTTTTGCTTTTTACTATTTTTCTATATTTGCAATATGTAAAAATGAACACTTGGCAGGTCTTGATATCCTGAACATTACTGCATGCCACTGTCAGATTTCTTTATATAAATCGGTTTACAAGATGTTAATATATTTGCATTTTAGCTGAAAGCGCTTTATAAATCTTAGTGGGCACGTTGATTGGTTGGCGGGAGCATCGGATATATGTTGTAAACTAGATACACAAAGGATAAATTTTGATAGAATTAGCTAACAATTGGCCAGTAGTTTGAGAGCAGAGTATTTCAAAAGTTAACGGACGACGAAGAACTAGACAAACTATAATAGTATTTAACAGCTGACTGGAGACAGTTTGATTTGAGGTAATGCTTCTTAATCAATATTGGAGTTCGTTACTTGGAATATTAATAGATCTTTATGGAGAGGGCTTACATAGGCTTTGCCTGTTACCCAATCCAATTAAATTTATTTGAATAAAATACTGTTTATAGACTTAAAGTAGACAAACGCCAAGTGACGTAAAGAGGTCAAATGGTCCTTTTCGCAAGGTGAACTAAAAAGAAAGACAGCAAAAAAAAAAGCTCCTTAAACAATGATTAAACTGCAGATTAAACAAATACGAACCCCACCCCAAAACCGGAGGAAAACTCGTATTGCATAGACAAGATCAATACCAAAAATCATCAGCCTTATCTAGCATCACCTGACTGTTATTCTTATGCTAACGTATTTCATTATAACAAAAAGGAGATGTGGTATGGTTTGCCAATGTCTCATTGGCAATCTCAAAAACGATCGAAAGGACGAGGTTATAAACAACTATAGGTCACCGACCAACCTTCAACAATGAGCAAACCTCATTGGGGTATGGTAAGCTTAAAACGGCCATGGAAAGCTAAGATGTTTAACAACTCAAAAGAGAAAACAAACGGCCTGTAGGTGTCTGCAATTTCCATCGCTGGTATTATGTATGTATGTTATACTTATTTGCCAATAGATTGCAAATTGTCAGACTTTAACTCATATATATCATCAGATATTTGACTGAGTTGGTTTATTATGTATTTGAAAATAAATGTAATTTCAAAAGAATCATTCGAAGTGTTTGTGAAACTAAGTATAACATATGGTAGATAACACTGTTATTGTGTAACAAACCCGAGTTACATTGCCTCAGTGTAAATAAACTGATGGCACTATCTGTTCATATTTCTAAACAATTTGAGGTTCAATGTTAATTATCTTCTAGAACTATGTGTTAATGTTTCCTATACAGTATAAACAAATACTTTTGCTTTGAGAGTGTTTACGATAGTCTGAGATCAATTTACTGATTAGTATGGAACGCTGCACCTGACAGACGGAAATGATTGCAAATGTTTTAGTGCATGGTCAGGCGATGACCTCCTAGCCAGTACCTTGAATTTATATTAGCACATAGTTCTTATAAAAATAAGGAGATGTGGTATGATTTCCAATGAGACAACTATCCACCAAAGTTCAATGAAGTGGATGTAAGCACTTCTCGTTTATTAGAGTTATCCTACTAATTGAATATAAAAATTGAATGAGTGAAGCTATGAAGCAAAAAGTATTACAATTGTAATATTTTAAGATCTTAATTCGAAAGAAGTCATTATTTGAATCAAAGTATATAGAAAAAAACAGGGCTACCGATATATTTGAGCGAAGCAAATTTACCACTTGCAGTCAGTTTTGCTGTTTTAAAAGACCATCAAAGCACGATATAACGAATGTGATAATGGGAGTTCGAAGCGCCCTCGAGCTCTTCATTTACCTTGGTAAAAAACTCGATAGAAAAATGAAACCCAAGGATGTATAAATACTTCAATCTAGAGGTGCTATATGATCAAAAGGGACCTAAATAGAAAAGCTGAAGTCCATCTACGGTCAACGGTGCCTTCTGGAGTTCAAGAAAATAAAAAATTGAAAATTAGGTATTTAGCAATTTGTCCATAACACTACATATAATCTATATTTAGATTTTACTTCCCAAATTAAAAAAAATCTTTCAAAGAGGTACTAGCCACCCATCTTTGATGATGAAGGAATAACTCACCATTATGAAAAAAACTAACCAACCAACATGCAGTTTATTTATAGCTGAAGTATCCTAACCAAGAGCTGAAGAAACCTTCTTTTTGATCATACGTAATAACTGGCTAAGTTTTGATAAGATATGATCCATATTTGAAAAGATACCAACCGTAAAATAACAGGCACCAAAATGCAGCCTATATGTATAAGTTTACCAAAAGTATTCTCGACGCGCTTTTCCTGGTTCTATATCACAAAGTGATCAATTGGAGGGTGCACGTTAAATTGAATTACAGCTACTTACTGAAACTAGTTCATCACCGGACACTGAACGTGTGACAATAACTTCATTTGCACCCTCTTTTTGTGTTTCCACCATTTTATCTCCATCCATTGTTACAACGCACTAGAAAAGTACAAATATACAAATATCACTACTAGTATATTGAAACAACTGCTCTAGTGTGGTCAATAAATAATAGAAAATAATAATTGTACTCGCACATAATGTTATTGTTGAAATTTTTTTCATTATCTTTAGAATTACACAACATTTAAAACTGTTTTAGTTCATATTCAATTGCAGTCAGTTTGATCCTAAAAAAACCAATAAGACATCCCGTTAATACATCACTATCACAAGTTTGATTTGACTGGAAAGTTTAAAATCCCACATCTGGGGTGACAGGATACTCCATGTTTGGTCATCTACCTAAAGTGTCTTTTTATTTATTTTTAAAAAAAAATTTTTGTCAATCAATACATATAATGGTATGGTTTACATTGTTGTAATTAATTAAATTTATTTCGTGAGTTAAACATACTTTTCAATTAAAAATGATTTTTTTTTACTTTTGAGAGTTTGGTGAGATTAAACAGAGACACATATAATAGTACTATTTATGTCTCTGGATTAAAATAGAACGTCTATTTTTGGTCCACTTGTGTTGCTAGAGTGCTGTCATAACGACGTTCAAGTTATATTTACTTTAATTTGTTATCAAAGTCTTTTTATAGATTATAAAGAAGACCTATTATAATATTATGTAATCTAGATAGCATTTTGTGTCTTTATTTAGTTAAGAGTGTACTATCTATTTGATGAGTGCCTTTGTAACAATAGTGTTTTATTAAACCGTAAAATAAAATATTGTCAAGTGCTATCGAAAAAGACAGATTTTCCTTGAGACAGGAATAAAAACCACAAGAACAGCTGCTAACCGGTAAAACGACTATATTTGAAGTCATCTAGCCTATCGAAACAAGTTTAAGATAAACAATCGGATCATTTTGTAATAAGAATAAGGAAAATGAACAGAAATCCATTGTAAATAAGAAAAATGAACAGAAATCCATTGGAAATAAGGAAAATGAACAGAAATCCATTGTAAATAAGAAAAATGAACAGAAATCCATTGTAAATAAGAAAAATGAACAGAAATCCATTGGAAATAAGGCAAATGAACAGAAATCCATTGTAATCCCACAGATATTATTGGAAATGACAGATTTATTTCCTTATATTTAAATGGTTTATAAAAATAATATAGATTATGTTAAAAACTTCACTTCGGATAGGGGACATCAATGGTAAACTGCATATTTCGCATTTGAATTCTAACAGTGTACACATCTTAACAGTTGTAAAAACGTTTATTTTCATGAAATTGAACTTAAACATATGTTCCATTGCTATAAGCTTTTGGATATTCAATTTGCCTTCAGCTGAGAAGCTGTAGAGTCACGAATTGTCGAAATGCACATCTGGTGCAGTAAATGTGTCTAAGTTTATCATTATTACACACAATGTACTACCATTTGGTGGGTACATCTCCTGATGGACTGCTAGTTCCCTAAGGCATGAACTGCTAGTACCTCAGAAAGTTAGTACTGACATGAATATGCTGCATTGTATTGTTTAATTGAAAGCTGTTTAAAAACGAAGGAAATCATTTGAAACTATGGAATGTAGCTCGTTTTTGCAAGCAGGTTTTGCAATACTTTTCGATTATAGCCACTCGTCAACGGTTATATTAGATTTTGGATTTTCAAGCACTTCGGTCTCGAAATTCCAGAAGCGGCATAAATTGTCAAAAATAGCCTCTTTTGTTGTATTTCAATGCTACCACAGTCCCCAATAAGAACTTCCCTTTTAAAACTAGTCATTGTTTATAGAACATTGACTTTGTTAACCTTAGCACAGAAATTTTGAAGTATTTTTTTTCACTTATTTTCTCGTGGAATGCATAATACAATATATAAAAAACGTTAAACCGAGAAAAGATTAATTGGTGTATACGAACCAACAAATAGGTTGATGGGTTTTCATGAACAGATAAAATGGTTGATTGATGTTCTTGAATAGAGTACTTTGCGAACAGATAAAAATGTTATTTGGAATAATTTATCAAATGTGCAAAAAATTATAATCAAGTATCTTATTTGTTACAAATAAATAAACCAATCATAATAATTGATCTTATACATCAATTAATCAGTCAAATCGTTGATAGCCTCTTGAGGACCAACATATTCTAGATGTAGAAAAAATCTCAATTTATAGGAAACTATTTTATTTGTAAAAGTACGTAATATTATTCTGAAAAATTAAAGGTCGTTGAAATGAAACGAACCACAATTTTTTGTTGTTTTGACAGTTTTAAAGTTAACAAAACTGACGCTGTCATGTTTACACCTTGTGGTTTACACGCCATTCACCATACCTTATCGGTGTATCATATGAAAAGTCACACACGGAGCTTGTAAAATGTACTTTTATCTCAGTGTGTCTATTAAACTTGTACATGTATTTCTAAGGTCATTGGCTTTTTGCAACGATCATTTTTTATACCAATAAACTGCAGTACACAAGGCATGTTATAAAATACGCCTGATTTTGCATATGAACATGTACAGGTTGTCACACAATTCATGAAGTTTCGATGAACACCAAGGAAGAGAAATAACTGTACGCAATATATAAAAGATTCTAGAAGTTAGAACAGTTTTTGTTCGAAAACAGTTGAAAAAAAAAAATAAAATCGCCCCCCTCCCCTCACTAAAAAAATTGACAAAAACAATTCACAAATTTATTTTTTGAAACGAGTTAAATGTAATCTTGACAATTAATATTTGCAAGTCATCAAAACCGGACGTTCTCTAGTATTCTCGTAAAGTATTGACAATTTGATAAGCGATAGGTTTTGGGAAAGAACCAGGTATGAATTAGTATAATCAACGTACCTTTAAGGGTTGGCCAATAAGGGAAGTAGATTGAAATTCCTGTCCTATTGTAAAAGTACTGTCTTTAATTTTGTCTCCTACTATAGTCTTTATACTCCAATTATCGCCATTCTGTGAAATTTCCATAGTTGGTTGGTTCTTCCTAGCAACCTCACGTAGATTTTCTGGTACACCTTTAAATAAAATTGCAGTCATTTCAAATCTATTTTTTATTCATTTTTTTTGTCCTCAAAAGTTTGGTTTTGGCAAATTGATTTTAAAGATCTACCAATCCATACTGCTGCTCGATTCTTTGTTCGTGGTTTTATAAATACCATATGCATTTTATATATACAAAAAATACAGTTCTGGTCATTTTCAAAATGCCAAGATTTTGTAATATCTTGGAACAAGTAATTCGGTGTGAACGAACAATTGGAGCTATTAAATTTTTGCTTGGTGTTTATTTTGTACGTTGTGGGAATTGGACATTTCATCGGGTGATTTGTTTCCGATGGGGACAAAATACAATTGTGACTCTTTTGCTGTTTTGTTCCATATTTGTTGTGGGTCTGGATTTGTGGCTAAGCATTAACTATAGCTAAAAATAAATACCATCGATAGATTTTTAAAACAGATTAGGATACTATTAGTTTGATGATCTGTGCCTTTTATGTCATTATTCAAAGTGCACCAAAAGCTCTTAACACTATAAAAATGAAGTAAAAGTGTGGTTTTTTTCATTTCTAAAAACACAATTATAAAGGGAAATGATATAACGTGTGTTTCTGCTTGGGGCGCATTTGAGCTCATTTGGCTCACAGCCGAAGAAAATACATATATTGTCGGAAATCAACTGGAAGGATATAGAAATCAGGACTTCTATTTGGGATGCAAGACAAACTGAAATGAGTTCAAAGTATAAATTGGGTGTCAATCAAATTTAGTACAACCAGGTGACTTTATACTATTTGATACATGCGGTTGTACCCGGTACTTGACTTCACGTACTCTCAAGACACACAGCGGATATATCTATCAATATTTTATCAGGAGAGTTAGTCATCGGAGATAAAACTGCAGCACTTATCTGATTAATCCGAATAAGTACAAATTAGTCAAATTCAGATAACAAGGTCGTACTTAGGTTATTTTGGGTTGAAAACGAGGTTCGATTAGAATATTTCTGTCTTCTAACTGGACTAGGAACATCAAAAGTAAATTTTAAATACACGTGTACTTGGGATATTTGATGTACTCTTTCAATCTGTTTCAAAACACACTGAGAAAACAGAAATCAACCAATTTTATAACAACCCGACTTTAACCGTTTTGATTCTATTTAAAACACCCTCAAGGGTTGACTGTGGTAAAGAAAAATATAACTAACTGGACTTCTATTCGATAGGAGGGCATTTGCTAAGGTGCATGGGTTCAGTTTGGCTGTTCGGAGTACTTGTATGCGGAGTACAACCGCTCTGAAAAATACCCTTAACTCTGATGCCTCGTGTTTGGAGTTTACCACGGTATCTGCACGTGACCGAACTCTTGATTTATATATTTAAAGGGTTGATAGCTGACCTTGGGAAAAGACAAAAAATGTTCATTCTCAAATATACCCTGCTTTTCAAAGAGCAGTACAAATTTCTCGCCCTCATCCTGACCGACTCAATTTTAAGCCCTAACGAATCGATTTATTCTTTATTTTTTCTAGTCCTGAACATTTAAAAAAATCTTTTATAAAGAATTGACATTATCTCAAATTAACGTTAAAATCTATAATGATTTAAAATTAAAGAAACTTGGGACAAGTACTGAGCTTAAATGTAGTTATTTTTTAGTTAGAACAATTATTATAGATTAAGTGACCATCTATCTCTTTTCTGCTAGAAATCAAATACACAGAAGTTTGAAAACGCGGATCTTATATACATGTATATATAAGAGCAGTGCCGGATCCAGAAATTTTCATAAGGGGGGCTCACTGACTGCCTAAGAGGGGACACGCTCCAGTCATGCTTCAGTGATTCCCTATATAATCAACTAAATTTTTCCCACAAAAGGGGGGGGGGGGTGGCACTCTTGACCCCCCTCTTAATCCGCCTCTAAAGAGGGTCTGGATAGGGGGTCCTTCAGTTCTGTATTTTTTTATTTTTAGGCCATTTTTCTCTATTCTTTATACTTTGTGCCCATTATTCTCAATTCTTTACATTTTAACACCTCATTATTCTCTATTCTTTAGTTTTTTTTGTCATTTTTTCTTTATTCTTTATATTTTTTGCCCATTATTCTCTATTCTGTAAACCCCCATCTAAACCCTCATTTAATACTTTTCCTGTCATATGAAGAAGGTGCATGGAAGCACAAAGTACAACATCCACGTCTTTGCCGGGTTGAACACGAAGAGAATATTTTATGGCATGCATGTACAACTACTTCAGAGATTTAGCTGTGCACCGATATCTTTATTTTTTTACAGTACAAGGTTTACTCTATTTGAAAGACAAGCCACTATGATAGACAAGACACTATATACAGTGAAGTTTTAAGTATGACAAGCTATGTGCATATTTCATATACACACATATATATATATATAGTGAACTATGTAAATGTATATGTAAGGTCATGTAATAGATTGGTTATTGTTTTTATTTTCCTGTCAGTATAATCATAGGAAACGGAAAACACAAATCTTATGCACTTACTTGTCCTGAGCTACTTGTACGTTAAATTGTTGTTAGATGACTAATGTCAATATATGAAAATGTAAATATCAAAATATATAAAAAATGTAAGTAATTTCCATTTTGATTCATATTCTACTTACCAGTTGCCTGCATATATTCCTCAAGTTTGTCTGCAGACACATATTTCCATGTTCCTACCAAAGCCATTTTGTCCAGTCCTTAATATCTACCACACTACGATCCTAACGTGCTGCAATTCAAGTTACCGGCAATTGCTATGATTAATAACACAATTCGATTAGCTAATATTATAATTCACGTGACTTTTTGGCTAATCTTTGTGCAGCCTTTGAACGTCAGTTTGTTGACTGATGATATTGAACTATCCCCTATAACCGATAGTTATATTGGTATATATTGCATATTTTTACACGCTCTTATTCACGATACACATTACTATAATTGAGATAGAAGTGCATGTTTTCCCTGAAGCAACCGCATCTTAATATCAATTTTCATAATTAATCATTAATAATGCAGTATCATAAATCACATTCATATAATATTTACACGTATCCTAAAAACGAGGACATACTACTTTTTTGTACACACGTTCAAATTTGAAAGCGACATTCTGCACTTAGTTTTAATTAATACTGTGTTATGCCATTTAAGAAAAAAAATGATTGAACACCGATATTTATTTTTATTTTATCAAAATAAATTAAACTTTCATATTAAAATTAAATTCGAAAAAAAATCTGATATATATTTGTCTTTATTTACTTACTTTGACCACGGATAATGTGATGGGCCAGGATTACACTTAGTCTATCGGTTTTAATAGGAGTTTGCATTCATTTTGCCACAAATTCAGTTTTGTGAACATGCCATTGTGTACTTCATGTATTGCCGCTCGATACCGGCCTTATATGTTATAGCACTTTCGTTACCTATTTATCTGTTTTACTGTTGTGAATTTCCAAACTCTTGGGCCGACCATATCTGACAAAGGTAATTTCGGTAACATATGTGTTTTCGTTTTTGATAGTTTAATATATGTTCCCGTTAAAGACAGACGTATTATTGAATAACATGTATTATTCTTCTTTCCGCCCAATCGTTCGTTCGCACTCTTCTCAAGTATAGTATGCTTAAAGGGGCATTAGCTGTCAAGTTCATGTTCACCGATTTGACTCAAATTCTCATATTTGATTTATAACATACTAAAACGTATATCCAAATTATAAAAAGTCTAAAATAAACAATATACGATGCACGGACTCGATAAATTGTATCAGCATTTCGTGTGTATTTTAGTCTAGACGCCATCTAATTAACCATCGAGGTGACCTCCGAAGACTACCGACGGTCATATAACCCGATATAAACATAAACATAGATATAAATAGGAGGGTTTCTTATCGTCAAGTTGCGAGTTGAAAAGGCCGAGTTGCGAGTTACAAAAGTAGAGTAGCGAGTTACGAAAGTCGAGTTTCGAGTTACGATGGTCGAGTTGCGAGTTACGAAAGTCGAGTTACGAGCTACGAAAGTCGAGTTGCGAGTAACGAAGGTCGAGTTGTAAGTTACGAAGGTCGAGTTGCGAGTTACGAAAGTCGAGTTGCGAATTACGAAGGTCGAGTTGCGAGTTACAAAAATAATATGTTTCTCTAATTTCAAAGAATTATATATATATATATATATATAAACGGTCGTATATGTAAACGGTCGTGTCGTAGGATTTTTGAAACAGAATTTTCAGGTTTACTTTGCATTTAATAAACAAAGGATACATGTACCCGAACTTAGTTATACACTGCATGAGGAAGGGTCCCGGTATTTTGATTGCTGGATTTGAAAGAGTTATGTGATGCTTATTTATAAGAGTCTATTTGTTGCAAAGTCACGCACGCTTAAATTTATTTCATGAGAGCGACACTGTTCATTTTCTAAAATAAAACAGGATATACTGTAGATATAAGACAAACATGTAAACCGTACTGAACAAATCAAGCATAAGAAATTAAATCATGTAGACAAATGAAATATACTTGCAAATTATCGACATCTCACAGAATATGGCACTGTGTTAGGCCTATAGTAAATACTTATCAAAGGTACTAGGCTTATAATATTTTCTACGCCAGACGCGCGTTTCGTCTAAACAAGACTCACCAGTGACGCTTGAATAAAGGATATTCATTAGCATACCAAGTGCTAACTCTTCGTCTTTCGCAAAGGTTTAGGGTGATATAGGCACAATTGCACATTTAACTTTAAGTTAGGAAAATATCTCATAAATTAGTACCAGACTCAAGCTAGCGAAAAATAAGCCAGCGCACAATAAGATGCATCAAACTAGCGAACAATAAGCCAGCGAACAATAAGAAAACGCGCCAACATGATCATGCCTAAAAACCGAAGACTTGCAATAACACAAAACGTCCTTTTAAATCTAACGACAGGAGAACGAAATGCAATTCCATTTTAACACAGACAAAGTTAATTAGTTATTCGTGTATCTAATACAACTTTTTTTTGAATTAGTCAGAAATGTGACATGCTATGTGCTTTATGTGATAAGTTAAATAATTTTGAAGTTTGTTAACTTTGTGATTCAACCCCAAGCGGAGAGTGCATATATATGTATATACCAAACAGTTAATAATCGATTTGTTCAATGTATGTATATTTGAATGCTACAACGCAAAATTAAGCATGCTATAGATGTCTTTCTGTGGCATTATGGTAACTTCCTGGCATAGGAGATCATAATATAGTTTTTTTAAAATTTGGAAAGACATTATTCTACTATAAGCTATACCGCTTTTACAAAAAATAAAAGGAAAGTTTTTAAGGAATGTTATGGCGTGTGTTTTTACGGTATGAGCACGGAAGCCTTGTCTGTCACAAGTTTACTTTTTTACCTGCATGCAGCCTTGATACAAATGTTTTAGTTTCAGATACCAGCTGGGTATTGTACATTTTCGTATGATTAACCCGTTTTTTAGAAAGAAGTTACATATTCCAAAACTGCGTCTTTTGTCTCTTTTACAAAAGTATCTTTGACAGCTACATGTATAGAATAAAGAATGGAAACGGGGAATGTGTCAAAGAGACAACAACCCAACCAAAATACACAAGTCAACCCAAGGCCACCAATAGGTCTTCAACACAGCGAGAAATCCCACACCCAGAGGCAGCCCCGAGCATGCCCCGACACACAATGTACACTACATCAAGAAAATGGACGCCGTTCTATGCTCCGAAACATATAGATGAACCAAAATTAAAGAATATACAAGATCAACAAAGGCTAGAGGTAAGCGAACTCGTGTAATTGGATTTTTCTAGGTCTGTTTGATTTCATATTTTAGGTTTAAAAAATGTGTTAATAATAGTTTTTACCTGTATAAGAATGAGTTTTTGTAGATCAAATCAGTCAACCAAATGGTTCACCCTTGTTTCGCTCCCAATGTTGACATTCTTTTCTTATAATAGCTGAACACGCCTAGTTCATGCGTAACCCATCTCTAGCTGAGGGGTTCAATTGAAGTTCACATGAATACAGATTTAATGAGGTCGGATTATTCACTTGCAAGTGAATAATTCATTAGCGATGTTTCTTTGCTTATTTTGACAAAATTGAACCAAACTGGCTACTAAAAGCGAATTATTATATCACCATTTCACTTTCATTAATGATTGAACAACAAAAAAAAGAAGAAAAAATCATACTTTATTCTTTTCTATATCTCGTAGCTAATGCCCTTTAACAATTTGTATGCACAATAATGACGCTAATCATACTGTTTTTATATTAGTCATTCCAGATTTATCGGACTTTGATCGTCAAAATCTAAGCAATTTTTCACATTACCGTTGATACCTCAAATATGCTGAAACATGGGAATATTTTCACACAATGCTGCAGTGGGTTCGATTTTTATGAGTCGTTCAGCAGTTATTGCACTTTTTAATCTTTAATACTTAGCTAACTTTTTAAATGTCTGCTGATAATTTGTTTGATTGATGTTTGCCCGCTTAATGGCCGGTGGTAACTAATTCCATTAATATTAAAGACGAGAACAAACTACTAATAATCACAATAGGAAGTTATTGCGAGACAGGTCGACTTGGATGGATGGAGGTCTGTTTAACTTCTTGTTGCAAACTAAATGCAGAAATTCAGGACGAGAACATGATAATGTGATATGAATATAAGCCTTGCTTTGTACTTGACGGACACTCTGAGCTAGATTATCAACATGCTACTTCACAAGATAATAGTTCGGTAGGAAGACATGTAACCCTACTGGGACACATTATTTTGACTCATATCCAACCAGTCTTTGATCTTACTCCTAGATACCGCGTGCTTAACAGAGTAGCAACACAAACCAATTTCAAGTCTTTAGTTTGACCCGACTGGTTTCAAACCCACGATCTCCCGCACTCCAGGCTAACGTTAACACGCTACCACGAAGCCACATAGGCGGTTGGTTCGAGTAGGAAGAAGGTCATATTTGAACTGCAACTGACAAATGACGGTTTGACGAAGAGTGGCATGCAGACATTTTTTTATTGCAAAAAGCCACCTACGGACCATCAGATATCTGTTTCTGTCACGGAATAGAAGTTCCTTCATAATATAAGTTCCAAATGGAAACAATATTCTGGAATATTATTTCCACTGGAATAAATATTACAGTAAATGTTCCTAACGGAATAAATGGTATAGAATATTTGTTCCAACAGGAACAGATATTATGCCATTGTTTATAACAAAGTTTCCAGTGGAACTTCTGTTAGGCGGAACAAATATACGTTGACATTCCAAGGTTTTTTTGTCGTTTAAAAATGGTAACACTTTCATTGCATGATCCCTCAGATTTATTGTATAGATTCCGATCAGTTTTATACATCCCGCACAACTTGACAGACACTCAACTTTAGGTATCTGGAAATTTTCTGTTTTTCTTCGATTTATAGGATATGCTAATTTCCTTTGTACTATTTATTCATTTTTGTTTTTTCCCGAATAACATATTTTTTTGTTGACAATTTCACATCTGAAAAGAAAGCTTAGTTTTGATTTTGACTATTATCAGATTAATTCTGCGCTATAGGACATAGGTCGTCTAAAACTGAGACATTTTTCATTTGTCAAACAATATCATAATCATGCAAATTCTTACAGACTGTTTATGCTGATTCAGTAACATGTAAATTATACAGAATGCCAATTTCACTCTGCGTGACAACTTGCTTCGATATCACATCTTTCATTAAATTCCTTTACTAGTATTCGATTAAAGACAGTCACAACTATAAGGTTTAACTAAGACGAAATTACTTTTCAAGA